TTTCTGCAGAAAATTTGATTTTGACTCGATGGATCTGGCTTCTTTTCTCATAGTGGTCTGCAAATTTTCCAAAATATTGTTGAATGACCCATGCCTTTTTAACAAATGGCCACATAGATTCAGAAATGCACATCAATAGACGTTTTCTTTGCAAATGTTAATTTCAAAAATCACTCACATTCACCATATTTTCGTTTAAATCAGACCATTCCTCACATGTTGCGCCTTTAACACGTTCCTTCAGAGTGGGCAGGTAGTAACTTGGCTGGACAGCGCATTCGTGCGATCCGTGTCACGTGGCGCAAGCTGCGTGGGGCATTGCGTCACGTGGTGCTGAGCATGCCCGAAGCGCTCTATGAAATACAAATCGAGGGCGTGGCTATGCACGACAGACAGACAAATAATCCCTGGTGGGCAGTGGGGAACTGTTGTTTCTACCTGTATAATCCCTGGTGGGCAGTGTGGAACTGTTGTTCCTACCTGTAATACTCTTTAGAAAGACGGAAGAAAGAGGAAGCATTCAGACATTACGCTAATAAAATGCAAAGCCACGAGCCAGGCAGGAGTCGAACCTACAATGTTCTAATCCGTAGTCAGACGCGTTATCCATTGCGCCACTGGCCCCATGTCCATTAACTCTTGTCAGACCTGTCTATACAGTAACGGTAGCTGTATAAGTACTGGGTGCAGGTCTTGGTCTGCATTTAAACTGGTGTATGGACAAACAGCGAAGTGATATAAACCCTTATCTGGCTATTTGGCCACCTGTTCACATCCAGAGTCCAAAAGTGGAAATGTTCAGTTAAATATTAAAGCATCATTTCACCCTAGCTTTTTCTACATTGAGTGATATTTAATTGTAGGGGCACTTGTAGTTATTTTTTTTATAGTTGTGTTTCTCTTGACATGATCTCATGAAGATTTTCTGTCATTGAAAATGCACCTCAAGATTTGGCTCGATATGAAAGACAATATAACAAAGCATTATTATTATTATTTGTAAATGGTGAATAGTACATCATGTACAACAATAAAACTCAGGTAGCTTGTATGTCACAATCAATAAAAATAATCACTGTACCACCATCCCCTTATACAAATTCATGAATGTGGATACATACATCACACTTAATTAAAATATGTAATAACATTACATTTTTAATTGGCATCTAATTGATTTGTGCCTAAATTGCACATCCGCCCGTAGTTTGTAAATGTAATGGATTTTGCCCCCATCCCCCGCCTCTCCACAAAGTGACACGAAGCATATTTAAATTGTACAGTACATGCGAGATCGTTACGGACCTTCGACCCAGCTTTTAAGGGCGCGCGTTGGGTGAGCAAAGTTTTTCCGCCACTGCAGACCGTGAATCTCGCACGTACACGCGCGCGCGCGCGCGCGCACACACACGCACGCACGTGTCCGTTTATGGCGTCGTCAACTTTATTGAAGCAGCGCCCCTCGCCAGCAACTCTCACACGGATGGCGTCACCGTCAACGCCAGAGAGATAGGTCACGGCAGTGCCTGTGATAGCATCACAGTGCTTGCTGACAGCGCCTTGGCATTCACCGGGATTTTCCAACCCCACGAGGGTGAAATGAATTGTCATGAATCAGGATCACGGTTCGACTCAAGGATCTGTTCTTGGGGTCACGGCTGACATCAGTGGTGAGTGATACCTGAACCGGTCCTGGAATTCTCACTTTACAACCCGCACTCACAGGCATGGTGCGTGAACCCAGCCTCTCAGAATTACTGGGTCACGAGCGTGGTGAGTGCGGGTTCATTTAGGGTGACTTGGTCTTAGGTAAATATTGTAGCTTCACACCAACGTTACAAGTCCAAGCGGTGTCAGGCTAACAAGATGCATGACTACCACGCCCATGAGAAACGCACCCGGTGCTTGAACCCAGACTCAGAATTACCGGCTCATTGTCTCAAAAAAGGCATTGAACGACTGGGAATCGGCCAAAGTGCGGGTTTGAACACAGCATCATAGATTGCTGGCTCAGAGAGAAGCACCCAGACTCAGCGCTTGAACACAGATTTTTTTAGACTTAGCCTCAGTGTCTCAATTTAAACACCAGGTCTTTGAAAATCACCCAGACCTAGGGCATGAACACAGAGGCAATGGCGCAGTGTTGCAATAAAAAAAATTGCGTCCTGAGGGATACATATACCCAGGGTTTGAAACCACACCCTTATAGGTAGGTGATGGTTTAGTCACTCAACAGAAGACGAATCTTCTAGACAAAGGGATTGAATTTGAATTAATACCTTCATAGATACTGGCTGTCTCATTCTAACATAAATATCAGCCCCTATGAGCCACTGATCAAGCTCTCCATTCTTGACAATGTCCTTAATTTCCGACAAAGAGCAGTATCCGGGTGGCAAAACACCCTTCACGCGAACACTTGAGGTTATGTGCTGAGTCTCACCCAAAATCTCACATTCAAGGACCGCCCGCCATTATTGCCATGGTAACATCCACGATTGGCCAGTACCAGGTTGAGTGGGAGAGGCCATCGGCCATGGTCTTATATAATTTACGACTAAATTACCCTGCATGCCCCCAATCTCGCCAGATCTCGGATAACAAGGAGAGTTCACTATGAGACCTCCTTTACCAGTGGGAAAATATAGTAATAGGTTTTTACCCTTTAAACTAGTACAAAACTGACACCTTTATACAAGGCATCATGTTTGCAATAACCACAACACAAGTAGTCAAAATGCAAACAAAAAGAAACAACTCTGATGATGATAATGATATGCACTGTCCTTGAAGTTGATTGGTCCACACCCGAGACAGCTTTTCTTAGAGCCTAGTCTCCATTGGTGTTGGACCAGATGGCGCCAGAAGGCGTACAACTCAAAGACAGCGCACTATCAGAGTATTGAGAGCTCGGGGTAAGCATTTACACTATGAGACCTCCTTTACCAGTGGCAAAATATAGTAGTAGGGTTTTACCCTTTAAACTGACTACTTGTGTTGTGGTTATTGCAAACATGATGCCTTGTATAAAGGTGTCAGTTTTGTACCAGTTGAAAGGGTAAAAACCTATCACTATAAAGAGAGTTCAGCCTGGTTTGCATGTGCATCGGAGACTGCCTGGGAATAGCAGGTGTCGTAGGCTTGGGCTAAGAGTTGACCACGAGATATGGCGGTACAAGCAATAGACTATTGAATGCATCCGTGCGGAGCTTTAGAGCGTTTACCCTCTTGTGTGTGGTGGGTTTTCTCTGGGTTCTCCAGTTCCTTCCCACACAAAGTGGAATGCTCATGAATGAGATTGGTGAAGCATTGCAACGCACAAATCTCCTCAAACAAGTCTTGAGACTCATTGAGATATTCCTCAACGCTGATGGCATATTATTTGATCTGTAATTTGGATTCGTTCGGATATTTCGTGATTTTTTGGTTATTTGTTTCAATTTTTTTGGTGATTATTTGTCAGACATTCGATTGCGATGTTGTGGAGCTGACAACTCAAGCGTGTCGCTGCACCCGGTCTAACATCAGCTTCGTTGTGCATGCGACCAATAAACTTCGATTGCTTGTAATGCCTAAACCGGTCCTGCGTTTGCATGTCTTGAATCAATGCCGCTGAAATTATACATTCGCAAAGGGCCGTGCGGCTGATGGGTTGTGTCAGGCACACGTTCATTGTTTATGTGGAGAGATGGATACGTGAAAGAGGCATCTTGTCTGCTGATTTATTTTGTCATTGATATTCTCCACGACACTTACGATTTTTTTTTTACTCATAAGCTTATTTCTGTTTTACAGCAGCCATGGTGTAACTTGAGGCGATGTATATAGAGGCATTCAAGAGTTCAAGTTATCATTGCATATTTTACCCGATTTCATATTTTAATATGTGTGTACAATGTTTTAATGCCTTGAGTGGGGGCGATACTACATTTCAAATAAAACCTATAACCTTGAAATAAATTGAATGACTATTTAATGTACAATGCATTCAATCATTGTCACGATCATTTTGTCAGATTAATGACGATGAGATAAAGTACAAGAATATGCGTGGATGACAATCCCATGATAAACCGCTGGTCAGTGTAGGCTGGTGAAGTGGTGGGGGATTGGGAGTCTTGCTAGGACTCGTTCAGATATCGTTTGTCAATTATGCCAGCAATGCATGGCCTGGAATCAAACTCAAGCAACAAGGTTCATAGTGGAGGGCGCCAATCCACTGTGCCACCACTTATCTGCAAGATGTACCGTACGTGTGTGAGAGGATGACCCCAGTAGATGCCACAAAACTACTTTGGAAGCCGCTTCAGTTGGCCTCTTTATCCACACTAGGGACACACATTTTACATGACCTGCGAAGAGTGTTAGTCACATGTTAAAGAAGACAAAAAATGTTTAAAAGTCTCATCGCTGGAATTTTGCCAAAATAAAAACGAAAATGTAACATAGTGGACGTGTTTCGATTTAAAGCTTTCGTGACTGCAGGGATTCATATTCTTGATTCTTTCGTGACTTTACCGAAAGAACCAAGAATATAGTGGACGTGGTTGTGTGTAGTCAATGGTGGCCGGACTGGGACCAGCCACTCACTACATTTAAGGACCTGGTCTAATCACCATGCAGTCTTTGAGAATCTCTGGGTTATCATATAAGTCGATGAGACTGTGTGAAATATATTTGTGACCAGCCTGAGATCACTAACTCAGTCCACTTGAGAAAATCCGGTTTAATGGCAGTTGGGTAGCACAAAAATCTAATTTAGAGCCCAGGATCTCAGAAGGTCGAAGGCTCAGCGTCACTGACCTCTGATCCAGTTGCACCAACTCAAAACCTTTAACAATTTTATAGCGAAGCGTATGCCGCCACACTAAACGAACTGAGCAAATAGCGTACAGTGCAGGTAGGCGTTGTAGCTGTGTCAATAGGAGCGTGGACCCTAAATGCGCATGCGACGTTTTGTCACGTCCCCACCTCGTCGTATAAAAGCGTCTAACCTCCACGTCGAGGCCCCTTTTGCACGCGCAACGGACATCGACCCGGCTGCGAGAGAGGAGAGGCTTAACGTGACGTTAACAGAGAGAAAGGGCAACCGATTCTCAAGGGGCCATGGCTGCTCACTTCACGAGGCTTATTTCGGCCAAGAGGGCCACGATGGTGGTGGCCGCTGGCTCCGTGACCGCCGCGCTGCTGATGAATTCCAACGGGGACGTGGCCGCCGACAGTAGCGGCTCTCGCAGGAAACTCTTTCCTCCCAGGTAATGTTGTGGATTTGTTTTGCATTATGTGAGGGGGTGGGGGGGGGGGTAGGGAGGGGTTGATGGATCACGTTAAGGTTGCCACCTGGCCTGGGTTTCCCGGGATCGTCCTCTTTTTTGGGGCGGGCCGCCATCATGGGAAATCTCTCCCAAGCCTTTTCTAGACGTTTAAAACGGCCCCCCCGTTGTCAGTTGCGGTTAAAAAATGCACCGCTCGAAAACGATGCATTTGCAACGCAGTTCTGCAACTACTCCGGCATCACGAGATATTCTACCTTTTTTTTCCTATGATACGTCCAAGTTTGTGTTGTTGTTATACCTCAGAGGTGACAACCCTCGATCACGCAGATATTTTTTATGTGGGTATGTGCAAGATAATCAAAACTGTTGCGCTGCAATTTTGTGGTGGTGAAGGTGCAGTACGGTAAGTACGTTTTTTTGTCGAATTATATTCCATGGAAGCTTTGACTCTAATCCCCGTCTTGTGAGTGGAACTTCTCTCGCCGCACCTGTTGCCACCCACGTGTTGAAACACTCAACAAAATAATGTCGAATAACGAGGTAAGCCACATGTGATTTAAAATGGGTCCTCATGTATTTAAAGTCGGAGGTCACCAATGACTGCACAAAATAACAATGACATCGAATTTCGATTTAAAGCTTTCGTGACTGCAGGGATTCATCTTCTTCACCTGAGGACGGCTGCTTGCGTTGTGGCCGAAACGTCGTGAGAATTATTTTATTATGTTTTATTTTTATTATTTGATTATTTCCCTTTTACGTGACTTTACCGAAAGAACCAAGAAGATGACATCGAACTTGTTTCTGCACTTGGGCTAAAATTCCAGCTCTGATAATTAAAACGTATTGGTTTGACTATCGTCCGAAGAACACCTACTCGCAGTGGCAGCGTGTGCGACAGTGCTGCCCGCTACTTAGATGCAACAGAGGTCACCTTAGGGGATCTGGACGGTAGCTCGGGTGATAGCTGCTTTTGGGGGCAATTCTCAAACGTGAAGGGATGCACTCCTTGGCCGCTCCACTGTTAGTTTCAATCATCGGCCGCTAAAACACGCTGTTCATTCAAAAAAAAAGTTTTTATAAATATAAATGCCTAATGTTTGTTTGACTTTCGCCAAAACAATACGTAGAAGAGATGCCTGTAAGTTTCAAGTATGGTATGGTACAGGTTACCTAGACTGGCATTGTAGTGGCACTCAGAGGTAATGTATTTGTTTAGCTAGGCGTGAGAATTCAAGTGCCCAGGAAAGTCTCATTTGCAAGACTTACCTGGGTCATTAAAATGGAAAAAGCAAAACGACTAAAATAACGTAAATCAATGAAGCAAATAGAAATAATAGCAAAAGCAACTGTAACAAATGGCAAATCTAAAATATTGCACAAACGAACGTTGCATGTACGTATGCTGAACTTCTTTTGCGCAGTACGTAGCCAACCGTGCTTTCTCTCTTCGCTTCATGACACATAGGTCGAACAGTACGATAGAGACGTGAAGCCAGATGGCAATGATGGGACTGTAATAGCGGCCTTTAAAAGTCCAATGTCAACCGAATAATGAAGCCGAGAGCAAAAGCCAGAGGGGATAGCGATGGGGCCTGCAAGAGCAGTCCTTGAAGGTGAAGCCAGCGTAACAAGGGGATCTAGCAACAGGAAGGAAGCGATGACGACGTGCGGTAGCATCGACATATTGCAATATAGCCTCTTAAGGTCACCTTGAAACGTTGACCCCTAGTTGACCTTGTCCTAAATTTGTCCGGTACAGCTCCGACTACCCAGACCTCCGCAAGCACAACAACTGCATGGCTCACAAGCTCACGCCGGCTCTGTACGCGCTGCTGCGCGACAAGACCACACCCAGTGGCTTCACTGTGGACCAGTGCATCCAGACCGGGGTGGACAACCCGGGGCATCCATTCATCAAGACCGTGGGGATGGTGGCCGGGGACGAGGAGTCCTACGAGGTTCGTCTTAGGGGGTGGGGGGCCCGACTCCTTCGGCACAACGCCAACAGTCAGCTGCACGAGCGGACTGCTATCTATGGGACCTTTTTTTGCAGTGACGTGCGGTGAGGTCAATGGCTGGGGAGGCACTGGCTCGTGTCGGAGCCAGATTCACACACTGAGACGGGCGTGTCCTCACTGAGGGGGCGTGTCCTCACTGAGGGGGGCGTGTTAAACACGTAACCCTCGGTGAGGCAGATGTGATAGCTGCCTCCCCTGGTGATTTTTCATTGCAGTTTCATGACGAGACCAGCGAGCCTAAATATCTTTATACACGTACGTGCAATAACTTACCCGGAGTATGGAAGGCGAGGACATGAAATGAAGGGCTCTGCAACCATTACATTGGTGACATACTGAGATAGTAACAGGCACACGCTTATTGCCCGCGCTCCATCCCGTTACTGAGGGGTTGCGCAATCAGAGGGGAGGCTGAGCTCGTCGCTGCCTCACCTCTCGTCTCTTCCTGTGTTTGCAGCGGAGCTCCGCAAATTTGGCGATTTTGACTATACAAATGATTCAAATCGTACAGAAATGACATTTATAACACAGATCAGTGGAAAAAATCTTAATATTTATTTTATTTAATTATTCTGTTTTTTTACTTTCCGTAACAGCTATTTTCATTGGAGTATGCCAGGTGAAGTTCTGCCTCCCTTGCCTCCCCTGACCGCACGTCCCTGCTTTTTTGTTGTTGCTAATATCAAATGATGAACTCGTGAGAATAGGTGTTTTGAATTTTGACTCAGGTGTTTTACCCTTTCTGCAGGGCCCAGAGTATAGATTCCTGCAGTCACGAAAGCTGTAAATCAATACAATTACTTCATTATGCAAGTTAAAATGTTGTGTTTTAATATTTATGCGGATTGGTTTTATTTAGGGCCCATTTATAACATATGCTACAGGCCCCGCACCAGCTTAATCCAGCACTGGTACCTTGTGGTGAACATGCAAACATGCCTTGATAATGTTCGCATTCTCTTAGAAACTGATCACCAGTATGCTGTTGTCACATGACACGCGAGGATTGATGTTAGCACAGGCCTTGGACACGATCGCTGATTTGGTGTCTAAAATTTACCTTTTTGTGTCGTATCGCTCTTATCTTGTTGGGCTGTCATGCGAAGAATAGTATTCTGGTTGGCAGAGCGAATGAGAAAGTGCTGCCCCCACTGTGTGGGACAAAGGTCACCTGAAGGGCTCTCAGAGGTAGCTTTGTGATGCCTTCTTCTACGAGCCGTTCTCTTCACTGGAAAGGGTCGCAAATGCTCTGCGCCAAAATCGGAATGGAGTATTCGTCTCGGGACGCGTTGCTGATAACACAATCGGGGCAAACTTGGGGTAAAAATGACAAGAAATACAATGTTTAACGTTATCCTAGCTACGGGGAAAAGACGACCATTCACGTGGCACAACGACGTGGCAAAGGTGCGTTTCTGTAATCCCCGAGTGGCTGGGTTCATCGTTATTCGCAGGTGTTCGCCGATCTCTTCAACCCCGTGATTAAGGAGCGGCACAACGGGTACGACCCCAACACGATGACTCATCCCACCGACCTCGACTCCAGCAAGGCAAGTTACCCCATTCACGGTGCCCTTGAGAATTCTCTACCCGCTGCTGGATAAAACTGCCAATGCATTCACCTCCGCAGAGTTGTGAGGCTACTGCATAACAAATGAATGAATTAAAAATAAAATTAACTTTTCAAACACATTCTTTGGACTAATTTTATTTTACCGGATAAGGCCGACTGAGTTATATAGCGCTTTTTCATTAACGACCTGGCTATCACAAATGATAGCTCAACGAAGTGGCTTATCACGTGGAAATTTATAGCAGCCACGCGACCACGGAGAGAACATACAAACTCCAAATATACAGCAGCAGGCGTCGGGGTCAGGATCGAACCCCCGACCTCCTGTATACCAGGCGAGGTAGTTAACATCTCCTAGCCACCGTGGCGCTTAGGGCACGTAGTCTGCCTACTCTTGTTTCTGGACAATAAGATTTTGCCAGTTACCAATATTTCCAGGTTACCCGTAAAATTATGCTTTTAATTGTTATTTAATAGACACTTCTCTCCCCTCTCCGCTTACATCTACACCCACACACACACACATTCATTTCTGCACACATCAACCAGAAACTCAACATACAAACCTGCGCACACATCTAAACCCACCCACACGTACACATTTACATCTACGCATACATTATCGCTATTTGATCACATCTACACATCACATACACATCTAAACACACATACACATCTACACACTCACACACGGACACTAATCTACACCCACTCATATGTACACACCCACATATACATTTACACCCACTCACACACACATACATCTCCACCCACGCACTCACACACACACATCTCCATCCACGGACACACACACATCTCCACTCCCACACACGCATCTCCACCCACTCACACACACACATCTCCACCCACTCTCACTCACACACGCATCTCCACCCACCCACTCTCACACACACACACACACATCTCCACCCACTCACACTCACACATCACCACCCACTCACACACATCTCCACCCACTCACACACACACATCTCCACCCACGCACACACACACACATCTCCACCCACGCACACACACATCTCCACTCACACACACACATCTCCACCCACTCACACACACACATCACCACCCACTCACTCACACACATTTCCACCCACTCACACTCACACATCACCACCCACTCACACACATCTCCACCCACTCACACCCGCGCACCTACACCCACAAATAAATACCCCCACTAACCCCCAACGGCTGTGACCCCCCCCCCCCTCCAGCTCAGAAACGGCGTCTTCGACGACCGCTACGTGCTGTCGTCACGAGTGCGGACCGGCCGCAGCATCCGTGGCCTGGGTTTGCCTCCCGCATGCTCGAGGGCCGAGCGGCGCGAGGTGGAGCGTGTCGTGGTGTCCGCCCTGGCCGGTCTCAAGGGGGATCTCAACGGCCAGTACTTCGCGCTGGCCACGATGACTGACAAGCAGCAGCAGCAGCTGATCGATGTACGTGTCCGAGATCAGACCATGATCTTATCCAGAATCGACACAACATCTCTCGCGATGCAACCACCTATGTGGCTGCCGCACACGAACTGACTCTTGTAACTCCACACGCACGAGGATTTGTACGTGAGAATCAGCATGTTTGTTTCCACCGGAGGAATCCGATGAGCCATAAAGCTCTTTTCTCTCGGATGTCCAGCGGTGTAGGGCGCATCCTTGCACGCCTCGGCAACGCCAAATCGCCTTGCGCCACGTCACAGTTCCGCTTTGGTTGAGCCAAGGGGGCCCCTGGTGGCAGCTTCCCCTGCGCGGCACGAAGTGTGCGCAGCAAGGGCCTCGCAAGAGGGCATTCGTCAGCCCACCGTTGGGCTCAATAATCGGCCACCATCCCGTCTAGTGGCGTGTGCTGCACAATCACAATTCCGATTTAAAGCTTTCGTGACTGCAGGGATTCATCTTCTTGGTTCTTTCGGTAAAGTCACGTAGAATGGAAATAATAAAATAATAAAAATAAAACATAATTAAATTAATTCTCACGACGTTTCGGCCACAACGCAAGCAGCCGTCCTCAGGTAGAGAACAGGACAGAGTCTTCAGACAGACCTGTTCTCCACCTGAGGACGGCTGAACAGGTCTGTCGAGAAGACAGTCTTCAGACAGACCTGTTTTCCACCTGAGGACGGCTGCTTGCGTTGTGGCCGAAACGTCGTGAGAATTAATTTTATTATGTTTTATTTTTATTATTTTATTATTTCCATTCTACGTGACTTTACCGAAAGAACCAAGAAGATGAATCCCAATTCCATGTATTAATTCCCGCCTTGCATTTCTTCTCGAATCCACGTGTTCCTCTTTGCCCCTTCCGACGGGCATCCTCGATTGTCTAGCAAACTAGTTGTCCGTGACTTTTGTTCTTGCTCACATGCGTCTTGAGCCCCCCATTATGTCATTCTTTTTTGATTCGAAGCTTTCGTGACTGCAGGAATTACTCTTTGGCTCTTTCGGCAAAGCCACGTAGAAAGAAAATAAATTGAAAAATAGATTAAATGGATTAATTTCTTTCCTTTATACGTGAATTTACCGAAAGAACCAAAGAGTATCCTTCTTTGTTAAGTTCTCCAATCATTTACCGGAATTTCATTTCTATCAATCACGAGCATGACAAGCAGTAGCCAATCCCCAAATGCAAGGTGGCGTTTTTTTTAAAGGGACCGTCTATGCCAATGGTGGGCAACCTGCGAGCGAGATGCGCCCCATGTCACCCCTCATGGTGGTCTGGTCTCACTGTGTTTAACACGTAGGAGGCGTTCGCGAACGATATTATCCATAAATGAAGTTTTTGGGCTCGATGGAGTCAATTTAAATGCGTCGTAAAACTCGCCACGATCTTCAGGCGACACATCTCTGGCTGTCGCCTGATGATGCTCGCTGCAATTACTGACGAAACGTCGTACTCTATTTGTAAATGTTGTGGGTTTACTCTCCAACACACAACCGGTGTGTGCTGTCCTAGTAACGAATTAACACGTTTTGTTTACGTAACTAACCTTACTAATTGGCTGTGTCGGGTGGTGGCGGGTTTAACGACACATTTACGCGATTTCACTCAACAAATCCCTCTATTTATGATCTAAGTGTGGCTCGGGTGATGATGGTTCGTGCAACAAGCACGAGTTCAAGCTTGCGGCCCACTGAGGCGGAGGAGGGCCGCCCACGTGACCGGTCCGACTCGTCTGGGTTACCCATCACTGCATCTTACACATCCCCCCCCTCCCTCCATCCCCCGTGTGCCTTTTCCCCAAGGACCACTTCCTCTTTGACAAGCCCGTTTCTCCCCTGCTCACGGCCTCGGGCATGGCTCGCGATTGGCCAGACGCGCGTGGCATCTGGTGAGAGTTTCACGCTCACCACACAAAAAACATTTGCAGCGTCCTCCGCACGCCGTGATCGGCTCGTGGGTGTTGTGTGGCCGTACTTGACCACGATGGCCAGTGCTGGGCATCTTTGTAAAAAGAGCTTGGTATGTCATCGGATTTCTCCAGTAGAAATACATATTCTAATTCTGAAGGGAGGGCACAAACGTTGAATAGGAGGCCATCGCACAAACAGGAATATGCGTTTGTCCAGATTTACCGGCCATATTAATACGTAAAAGCAATGATTGTTCATCCCGATGCGGCTGTGCCACTCATTTGTAAACGACACGATTCATAGCATTCACCAAATTGCAGCTTCATTCCTCAATCTCACTCATCTTCATAGTAATAAGGGAGCAAAGGATGAGCTCACCGCCCTTGCAATGCGCAGCGGTGAGTGATATCAGAAACGGTCATGGGGCTCCCATAGATTAACTCAGCCTTCAAATGAATACCTGTCACGGTGTGTAACCATTAGCGTTGGAAACACAAAGGCAGCAATGCATGGTGCTGGCCACCCCAGCTCATATTTTGCGCCTTTTCGGCCTGAATAGGTGCTCGCTATTTCTTGTTAAAGCTTTCGTGACTGCAGGGATTCATCTTCTTGGTTCTTTCGGTAAAGTCACGTAGAAGAGAAATAATAAAATTTAAAAAAGATAAAACAATAAAATTCTCACGACGTTTCGACTGCAACACAAGCAATCATCATCAGGTGTGAAATCCAGAGCAAGAAAAACATTTTCCACAACAACAAAATTTTCTTCCACAACAATACATTTTTCTTGCTGTGGATTTCACACCTGATGACGATTGCTTGTGTTGCAGTCGAAACGTCGTCAGAATTTTATTGTTTAATCTTTTTTAAATTATATTATTTCCCTTCTACCTGACTTTACCGAAAGAACCAAGAAGATGTGCTCGCTAGCCTACACGTGCGTGCGTCGTCACTTTCAGGCACAACGACCAGAAGACATTTCTCCTGTGGGTCAATGAGGAGGACCACACGAGAGTCATCTCCATGGAGAAGGGAGGAAACATGAAGCGAGTGTTCGACCGCTTCTGCCATGGCCTGCAGGAGGTGAGACACCAAAACGAATTGTCCCCCGTAAAGCCCATAGACTGTTGGGTCAAGTACGATGAGCATGCACCTATTTAAGCACAAATGGGCGGTGTGATCAGAAACAGGTCCGGCCGCCACGTGCAATTTGAAGCCCACGTGATGTGTTGAAGACTTGATTGGCAACAAGTCAAAGGGCAGACCCATGTGTTGTGAGTTAACTGACTGAGACTGGCAGATGCACGGCCTGCGCGCTCCACTCACCTACCAGAGGAGCTAATCGATTGGGCTGTGTCCAAATCTTTAAACGATCTCTGAGCTCCTCAAATCATCCAGGCTGGTTAAAAATCCAAGATGTATCGTAGGCAGGTCAGCCTTAATGTTTCAAGCCAGCGGCGGTGGTGTTCATGTAAAAGGGGTCCACGTTTCGCAAGCATAGGGTCGACCGATGCGGTGTAGGAATTCCTCCACTCACTCTGCGACCACCCCATAACTCGTGCAGAGTTAGCGAGGGTGGTGGTGTTCGATGACACAAATTTCACGGGCATGTAAACTAATAACTAATTTTTTTATTTTATTTTACCAGGTTAGGCCCACTGAACTATGTAGCTCTGTTTCAGAAGCGACCTGGGCCACAAATGATAGCTCAACGAAGTGGCTTATTACGAGGACATTTATAGCAGCCAAATACACTAAAAGCATGTTTCTAAATATGGAGGAGGGGGGGGGGGGAAACGGAGGACCTGGAGAGAGAGACACACAAACTCCAAATACAAAGGCGTCATTGTCGGGATCGAACCGACGGCCTCCTGGATACCAGGCAAGGTAGTTAACATCTCCTAGCCACCGTGATGATGATGAAGAGAGAGAGAAAAAGACACGCAAACTCCAAATACACAGCAGGCATCAGGGTCGGGATCGAACCCACGGCCTCCTGTATACCAGGCAAGGTAGTAACATCTCTTAGCCACCGCGGCATGTGCTTTGTCGTGCTGGACCACCCTGATCGTCTCCTTGCCCACCGCGTGATCATTTGTGGGACGTCTTCCGTTGCCTGCCCACAGGTGGAGCGTCTGATTAAGGAGCGTGGCTGGGAGTTCATGTGGAACGAGAGGCTGGGGTACATCCTCACGTGCCCCTCCAACTTGGGCACAGGCCTGCGTGCCGGGGTGCACATCAAGCTGCCACACCTCAGCAAGGTGAGGGTTCAGAGGTCACCTCTAATTATGAATACACTGACGTTGTTCTTCGCTGAAAAGTGCACGAAGAAGCACTACGTTGCGTTGAGAGTTAAAGGTGTAATGTGAGGATATATCCGGGTCGCTGACGGATCACAACTCGTCACGATGATTGGCTCTGCCGGTCCTGGTCCATAGCCAATGGGCGGAAGCCTAGGGGCGTGGCCCTGGCGTAATGGGAAGGTGACAGCTGTAAGTAGAGGATTGGTTCTGCTGGCTTTAGCCACAGCCAATGGGGAGATGAGTCAGGGGCGTGGTCCCGGGAGCCTACGATGGAGTCTGGAAGATTCCATAGAGGCTAACCAGGATTGGTGGAAAGGTACCACGTGACCCGGGTATTAAATAGGAGTGGAGACAAACAACACGTGGTCAGAACTGGAACGAATGGAGGGAGAGGCCACGCGAGAGCGGGGGTCCAGGCTGCCACGTGGCTGCGCGCGCCTCTCTCTATCCCTCTCACGCTGTCTGTCAGCAGCGTGAAGGAGTGTTGTAAAGAAAGACCGGATTCCAGAAGTCGCTTCCACGACCTTTATTACAAAGGTAAGCGGGCTCGGTCAGGAGACGTCACTCGAAGGAATGACGACCGCTGCTCGAGACCATCGACAGAGTGGCAGCCAGATGAATGAACGTGCCCGTGAGGATGTCCGCAGCAGAGATGGAGCGATGGAATCAGCACCGTGTGCAATTCGGAGCTAGGCGGATCGGTGCCCCACGTGACCGTAAGTTGATGGCGACGGCTCGTGGGAGGCCTTTATCCAGCAGTGGATTGATCATGGCTGACCGTGTCCTGCAACTCCCCCACCCACCCACCTTTCAGGACAAGCGATTCTCCCAGATCCTCGACAACCTGCGTCTGCAGAAGCGCGGCACGGGCGGAGTGGACTCGGCCACCACGGGCGACACCTTCGACATCTCCAACCTCGATCGCCTGGGGAAGTCCGAGGTGACTTCACAGGGTCGCCGCGACAGCGCGACACCACGATACGTCGCACCGTTCAGGATCCGCGATAATCGTATCGTCCTGTTCGCACAACCTCGTCAGGTCGTGATGATCGTTATCGCTCATTGCTTCAATAAAAAATATATTTTATGGCAAAATATGTATGGCAACCTCTATATCTAGGCCTTAAAAAAAGCTGCTTAGCTTCTGAGATCAGATGATATCGGCAGCATTCCACGTCATTCGGTCAACATCGGTAAAGACAACGGTGCCGATGACGACGTAGACTACGTCGCCGATGTTGGCGATGACGGTGATCTGATGATGGATGATGGTGATGTTGGTGATGACGGTGATCTGATGGTGATGATGATGTTGATGCTGATGTAGGTGATTACAGTGATCTGATGATGGATGATGGTGATGATGATGTTGGTGATGACGGTGATCTGATGATGGTGATGCTGATGCTGATGTTGACACCTCACTTTGCGTAGGTGGAGCTGGTACAGCTCGTGGTCGATGGAGTGAACTACCTCATTGAGTGCGAGAAGAAGCTGGAGAAAGGCCAGGAGATCCGCGTGCCACAGCCGCTGCAGAACTCCCCGCGCAAGTGAAGATGGGATTGTGAGCCATCGAATCGACCGTCGGGGGTTTAGTGAAACGGTGGATGGGTTAGTATGCTGCTCAGTGGGGTAATCGCCACAATAGTGAATTAGTAAGCCAGCGGGTGGCCTCGTGGTGGTTGGGACGGTGAGCTATTGAATCAGCCAGTGGGGACGTGACCAGTTTAGTGAATGGTCGATGGTCTAGTAAGCTACTGAATGAGATAACCATCTGATTATTGCATTATTGAGCTGATTGATAGGCTAGAGATTTGGAGGGTGGAACCGTGAACTGACGAGTGGGATATTGAGCTTGTGAATTAGCCAGTTGGCTGGTGAATGGTTTAAGTGAAATTGCGAGTGGATCTGTCAGTTGCTGAATAAGATACATGAGCGAGCATATGACCTAGTGAGCTCCCGAACGGGACAGTGAGCTGACAGAATGTCTGGCGAGTTGGTATGTACATGCAGAGAAGAACAAGAATGTGGTTGAGAGGGAAGAGAGAGGAGTTGGGGATGGAATTTGAAAGTGGCTCGAAACTTGGCCCATTGCGTGAGAAACGTCGCATATGTGAATGATCAAAAAAGCAAATTAAAATGATGAACGTTTTATTAATCGAGGTTTGGGGACCCTTGACTGCTGAAGGGAATTAACATTCCATCCCAATGCATTTGACTAAATTTACTCCATATTTTAAAACAATAAAACAAGGAAACTGAAGTTTTGTTGTTTTTTTTCTTTCTCATTTGTGTTTTGTACTGCAGACTCACACTATCGTTCGGGGCAAAAACGTGTCTTCAATGTGGGGGGCCATAAGCAAGTATAGTAGTAGCAGAGTATTTTGAGACAGGAATGCCCTGTCCCTCGTATGCACGGGTTTCTCCAAACACTTGAGTTTCCTACAAAAGAAAGGAAAAAAAAACTTCAAAGAAGAATTCACCAAACATCCCTAAGCAGGGCACTCTTGCCAATGGATCCTTCGGTTCAATGGACGCTATCAGAGTAACGACTTATCACGTCATATTCTTTTTTTTTTGAAAGGCCAAAGAGCTTTAATGTCATTAGTTACGGGCGTTTGCCAATCCACTGCTGGACGGAGGCCTCTGCGGTGTTTGTCATGAAGGCCGTTTGGCCATATCCCTCCCCTCCCCAGCATTGGTCAGCGCAGGTTGTCGAAGCGAGGGTGGAGTGGAGATTTCAGGACCGGTTCTGATATCACTCGCCGCTGGTGTTATAGTCCTAGCCAAAATTCTAACTCGGGTAACGCGCTCACCGCTGCTCCACCACTCGCTGTTTTATATATACTAGCTTGTCTACCCGGCTTCGCCCGGGACTTGGATCCACCACGCCCGGCCGCCTTTGTCTCCCCAGTGGCGATGTTCACACACCACACCAGTTACTCGTTTGAGGCTGAGTCGACCTAGGGGAGGCCCAGGACCGGTTGAAATAATCGTCACCGGTGGGTGGCCGTGAGCAGGAATCGAACTTGGGTCGCCGGGTTCGTAGCGCGGCGCGCTAACCACTACACTACAATGCGTTACGCTTCCACGTGCGTGGGTCACGTGACAAATTTGACGTCACAGCTCACTTGTCGTGCAAAAAATGTATGCATTATTGAGCTCCACCCCCCCCCCCCCAAAAAAAAAAAACGTGTATTTTTATAATTTGTGCATGGTGTACAGTCTGGAAAGTACCCGCATGGCAAATTGCATGTTTGTTGCATGTCGGGAAGTACGCTAAACATTTTGAACAGACACACACATTCACAACTTTGACTTTCATATGCATGGAGATGTCTACTGCACAGGATATTGGTATTTATAGTGTCGTGGTTTGTGCACTGAAATACATTTCTAGAAATCCAGGTTCGGTTACTGACTTAACAAAAGTACATTGGCATTCCGGTCTGAACCCCCTTCTGTACAGCACGGGGAGGGGGGAGGAGGGGAGACAAAGTCAATACGTGCACTTCATTCACACTGACTATACTTCACCGCAATGGCCAGTGAAGAAGGGGGGGGGGGCAGAACAAGACACAGATTTGATATCCAGGGGACTGTGAGAACTCTCTGATCTCGAGGGTATTTGGTCGACTATTTTACGCTTCTCAGATGTCTTGGAAGAGGCGAGATAAACCCCACGCTTTACCACCGCCACACGTGGACCTGCAAGTCAACTTTCGGGCATAACCATTTCCACTGCTGGTTGGACAGAAGCATTGGGGGGGGGGGGGGGGGAGACTACAAAAAAATAAAATAAAAACTTGCACCATTCGTTCGACTCCCGCTCCGCGAAATTGATTGGCGACGTTTCGATTGAAAAGTCCAGGGTGCTGAACCGTTCATTCATACCACAGCCAAGGCCCTGTTTAACAAGTACCACAGATGATCAAAACTCAGGCCAGAGTGATTTCCTGCTGTAACGAGCATCTCCTGTTTTGTTTACAACCCTGAACCAGTGGTGGGAGGAGGAGGAGGGCGGTTGCTGGAAATTCCATGTTCCTGTGGTGGAGTAAAGTCTATCCATAGGACAACCACTGTTGACTTCAACACAGAGTGGGACTAATTTAAACTTTTTTTTTCGATTTAAAGCTTTCGTGACTGCAGGGATTCATCTTCTTGGTTCTTTCGGTAAAGTCACGTAGAATGGAAATAATAAAATACTAAAAATAAAACATAATACAATAATTATTATGTTTTATTGTTATTATTTTATTATTTCCATTCTACGTTACTTTACCGAATAAAACATAATAATTATTTTATAATGTTTTATTTTTATTATTTTATTTTTTTCCATTCTACGTGACTTTACCGAAAGAACCAAGAAGATAATTTTTACTTTATTTTAAAACCAAAATGTGGCCATAATTATTGGAGAACAAAAAAAATACCCCCCACTATTGGACATCAATGGAGGAGAGAGAGGAGAAAAAGAGAGAGAGAGAAAAACACATTTCTTTTGAAATGCGCATGGCAAAGGAGCCCCCCCCCCCACCCTCCCAACGTCTCGTAGGGAAGCGTTGTCGGCTGGAAAGCGGTTCCTGTTCAGTTGCCGTGCGACGGGGCCCGATGGCTCGGAAACAAACACGGCAGGGCCACAGAGTCAACACTCGTCGCCCTCGCCGCTGCCTCTTCAAGCCTCGCTCTGCACCGAGCCCCCCCCCCCCCCCACTGCCACTCCACTCATTGTGCTCGAGTGTTGGTTATTTGAGGGCGTTTCAAAACGTTGGCCAAGCAAGACGAGAGTACCCTGCACGGTCACTCTCTCAAACACACGTGTACGCATGCATGTACGTACGTGTGGTGCGTGTGTGTGTGTGAGTTGCAGCTGGGGTACAGCTGGGTGGTGCATCTACCGCTGGGGTGTCCAAACTTTTTGCAAAGAGGGCCACATTTGATAAAGTGAAGATGCCCGGGGGCCAATAGTTCCTTTTGACATTTTTTTAACCACAAACTTACGTGGAAATACACATTGTTATAAAACAATTTTCATTGTCACAATTACCTTTATTTTTCAAATGACAATGTAACCAAATATAAGCCACTCAGGCAGACGGGAACAACTCTAAAAACGCAATTATGTCCTTTCATTCAGTCAGATAACATTGAACAAACTGTATAGAATACCTTAAATGTTCATGAGTGTTATGAAGTATTTATTCTGACAGAGCTGGCGAGCCATAACTAACACGTTATAAGACCGAAGCTGTGGGCCGTATGAAATCTGACCGCGGGCCGTGATTGGCCCGCGGGCCGGACTTTGGACATGCCTGATCTACCGGTTATCTCAGTCAGCCGACCCATGGCACCTGGGTCTGTCCCGTGACCTCCTCTGGCAGCGGGCGTTCTACATTTCACGTGGCCTTAAAGTGCACCTGGCCTGGCACACGCGCCGTGGTGACGTCACCGCCAAAGAGTGGCGAATGGCGGTTGTTGTTTTTGTGAGTGAAAGCCACAATCAATCACCGTCAGCCATGATCTATCCACTGCTGGACGAAATCGTCCCTGCACCATCGGAATCTTTATCAGAATATTTAGACTGGATGAAGCCGATGAGCTATGAAGTTTTTTTTATCACAGATGTCCGTAGCCAATGTATGGATGTTGAACTTCTTTCGGACCATACGTACCCAACCGTGATGCATCGATACATCCTTTGTCTGCCACTCTGTCATTAGTCTCGACCACTGGCTATCTGCTGGACATCTGTGAAACTCCTGGACATCTGTGAAAAAGAGCTTCACAGCTCATCGGATTCCTCCAGTCTAAATAAGGATTCTGATTCTGAGCTCAACTTCCCAGCCATTCCACGTTCTACCAATCACAATCTTAACAGTCCATACGAGGCCTCTAACTTGTGTACGTTCTGCAACTTCTGTAATTGTTTTCTCTCCCTATGATTTTAAGGGGCTATCTTATGGACAATTAATGTTTGTGATGCCATTTAAATAATGTATAATCACGGCATTATATATCGTACTTTTAAAATGGTGGTACGCGAGTCGGGCAAAGTTTGGGAACTTCTGGCATAATATCTTTTGAACGAACGCTTCAAAATCTCCATAAACAAATTATAGGGTGGGGGTCGCAACGGGCTCTCTCCCCCGGTTAAATAAAAGGACAATGGGAAGAATTGAAACTGCGTGCGCTTAAACAAGGCCATGGCATTTACCACCAAGTCACACGTAGAAGTCACCCAAACAACGTAAGCTCATTGATCAACTTTTACAAGTCACGAGTGTGCTGTGTATATGGCGCATATGGGATTGGGGGTGGGTGGGAAGGGGAAGCCTTCATGAGGTCTCGTTTTTTCTATGTAAAAAATATTTCTATATATATAAATATATATAAAAAGAACACACCTGTAAAAATACAGATAGACCGACTGCGAGAGAATGAGAGAAAAGGGCCGAAAACGCTTGAGAAAATAAACCGATATACACATTTTACAAGGGAACTTTACTACTTGAAAGCACGCATTTGAGAGTGGCATTTTGGGGGCACGAGGGCCCAGTTACCATGGCGTCCGGCCCTCTCCATCCCCGAGAGGCTCTTTAAATATTCACGGTTGGAGACTTTTTTTTTGTTTGTTATGAAGGGGGGTGACGGCAGCACCGCGGGCAGCATTTATAAGGGAGAGCTGTCGGGGTTTTGTGGTTTTTTATATTATTATTTAATTTTCTTCACGGAGAAAGCGGAGGGCTCCATTTTTTTTCTTTTCTTGGCCTCTCGGGTTTCTTCGTCCGGAGGATGTCGCGAACGTCTGTGAGTAACATACCGCATCGCATCGCGCACACCGCACCTGACGTTGTTGTATTGCAAGCGCACCGATTGTCACTGCGTGTTCACTGGCTCCCGTCATATCAATGTGGAATTTCCACCATAGCCCAGTAAAACGATGTGCTGTGGTAACAATAAGCAAAATCGGAAAGAGTGACTCCGCGTGTCCTTCACACATTTTCATTTTACATTTGTTTTTCCTTGAGATTTATTGCATCCTAAGTGTTGTACATTTTGATCAAAACTACTTTTAGAAACTTTTAACTTGAATAAGGACTAATTATTGGAGCAAGGTGGAGCGGTGGGACAGTGGTTGGGGCACTGCGCTATAAACCCAGCAGCTTGTATTTCGATTCCTGGCCACGGCTAAAATCAGTATTCAGTGATGTCTAACCGGTCCTGGACCTCCCCCCTTCACCCACACTGACCAGCGTGGTGAAGTATGGTTAACCCCCCCCCCCTTGACCGAAACGGCGTGGGGAGAGCTTCTTCCAGTGGAAGACTGAGCAACGGACCAATCCTTGAAATAATTTATTTACATTTATTTTAAATGCGAACAGTATTAATGTTGTTTCGCCTTGTAGCAATCTGTACTTTTTCACTTTTTTAACTATAGTGGAGACGACGGTACAGTTATGGCTCTTGCTAATGAATGACAAACAATATGATAAGTGAATACGGCATGCTGATGAGTGCTAACATTTTTTTAAAGTCAATATCTCTTTTATTGCACATTTACCATTGGGAAATATTGAGCATCAGTCTTACAAAACATTCTAGACTTACAAAACATGTTGTGTTCATTTTATACAGCTGCTGCTGATATCAATAATGATTATGATGAGCTTGATGGATGACGATAACAATACCGCACTGAATATGACGGTGATTATGATGACTCGAATGTGGATCACGGCGCTAATCGTTGACGATTGCGCGAAGTTAATGGCGATGCTGATGTTACTGGTGCCACAACGTAGACGATGTGTCTTGTAAATATCGGAGTGGGTTTTACTCTCCAACACACCGGTTAGTGCTGAACTCGTCACGAATTGGCACGTTCTTTTTTACGTGCCAACCCTTATTTATTGGCTGTGACGGGTGGTGGCGGGTTTAACGACACATTTACAT